CGTTCCCTCACCCCTCCCCGTGTCCCCTTGTCCCCGCAGGTTCCTCCCCGGTGGCCTGTCACCCCCTCCAGCTGGGTGGTGCCCTCCTGGTGGTGGTGGCCCAGCTGGGGGGTGGCTCGGCCGTCTGGCGCCGGGCGGGTGGCCCCGGTAGCCCCTTCGTCCGTCTCCAAGCCCTGGGCAACGGTCGCCTACGTCGGCCCCACGCGGTGGCCAGCGCCCGCCTTGGTGGCCACTGGTACCTGGGGGTGGCCGACAGCTCCAAGGGGGGGACCTCCACCCTCTTCCGGTGGGGGGGACGGGGCTTCTACCCCCACCAGTCCCTTCGGCCCTGGCACCGGGACACCCACCTGGAGTTCCTGGAGCTTGGGGGGCAACCGGCCTTGGTGGTCTGCAGCGGGAGCAGGAGGCCCCTGGTCTATCGTTGGAGGGGGGGTGTCTTCGCCCCCCACACCGACATCCCCCACGTCCCCGACGTCTACGCGGCCAAGCACTTCCGGCTGCGGGGACACGTCTTCCTCTGCCTCACCCGCTTCCTGGGGGACGCCAAGGTGAGGAGAGATGGGGCGGGGGGGAGCACCTCGAGGGAGACGGTGGGGTGGGGTGGGGCTAGCGGGGTCACGTGGTTATGGGGGGCCACCAGGATGATGGCTCCTTGGGGTTCTATCACCATCACGGGGTTATGGGGGGCCACCAGCATCACGTGGTTATGGGGGGCCACCAGCATCATGGCTCCTTGGAGTTCTATCACCATCACGTGGTTATGGGAGGCCACCAATATCATGTGTCCATGGGGGGCCACCAACGTCATGGGTTCTTGGGGGTCCATCATCATTATGTGGTTATGGGGGGCCACCAAGGTCATGGGTCCATGGGGGTCTGTCACCATCATGTGGTTATGGGAGTCCACCAGCATCACGTGTCCATGGGGGGCCACCACCCAACCCAACCCCTCCCATGGTGGCCACCACCCAACCCAACCCTCTCATGACCTCACAGCCCAACCAAACCTTCTTCAGATGCCACCACCCAACCCAATCTTTCCCATGGTGGCCACCAACCAACCTGACCATTCCCATGTTGGCCACCACCCTTCCTATGGTGGCCACCACCCAACTCAAACCTTCCTCTGGTGGCCACCACCCAACCCAACCTTTTCATGACCATCACAGCCCAACCAAAACTTCTCCAGATGCCACCACCCAACCCAACCCCTCCCATGGTGGCCACCACCCTTCTACTGGTGGCCACCACTCAACCTTTGCCTTCCCATCATCCTCTCTTCCTCCAGGTGATGCGGTGGGAGGGTTCCATGTTCCGGGAGGTCCAGCAGGTCCCGGCGCGGGGCTCCTTGGTCTTCCAACCTTTGGCTTTGGCCGGCCACCGCTACGTCATCTTGGGCAGCCCCTTCGTCCGTCTCCAAGCCCTGGGCAACGGTCGCCTACGTCGGCCCCACGCGGTGGCCAGCGCCCGCCTTGGTGGCCACTGGTACCTGGGGGTGGCCGACAGCTCCAAGGGGGGGACCTCCACCCTCTTCCGGTGGGGGGGACGGGGCTTCTACCCCCACCAGTCCCTTCGGCCCTGGCACCGGGACACCCACCTGGAGTTCCTGGAGCTTGGGGGGCAACCGGCCTTGGTGGTCTGCAGCGGGAGCAGGAGGCCCCTGGTCTATCGTTGGAGGGGGGGTGTCTTCGCCCCCCACACCGACATCCCCCACGTCCCCGACGTCTACGCGGCCAAGCACTTCCGGCTGCGGGGACACGTCTTCCTCTGCCTCACCCGCTTCCTGGGGGACGCCAAGGTGAGGAGAGATGGGGCGGGGGGGAGCACCTCGAGGGAGACGGTGGGGTGGGGTGGGGCTAGCGGGGTCACGTGGTTATGGGGGGCCACCAGGATGATGGCTCCTTGGGGTTCTATCACCATCACGGGGTTATGGGGGGCCACCAGCATCACGTGGTTATGGGGGGCCACCAGCATCATGGCTCCTTGGAGTTCTATCACCATCACGTGGTTATGGGAGGCCACCAATATCATGTGTCCATGGGGGGCCACCAACGTCATGGGTTCTTGGGGGTCCATCATCATTATGTGGTTATGGGGGGCCACCAAGGTCATGGGTCCATGGGGGTCTGTCACCATCATGTGGTTATGGGAGTCCACCAGCATCACGTGTCCATGGGGGGCCACCACCCAACCCAACCCCTCCCATGGTGGCCACCACCCAACCCAACCCTCTCATGACCTCACAGCCCAACCAAACCTTCTTCAGATGCCACCACCCAACCCAATCTTTCCCATGGTGGCCACCAACCAACCTGACCATTCCCATGTTGGCCACCACCCTTCCTATGGTGGCCACCACCCAACTCAAACCTTCCTCTGGTGGCCACCACCCAACCCAACCTTTTCATGACCATCACAGCCCAACCAAAACTTCTCCAGATGCCACCACCCAACCCAACCCCTCCCATGGTGGGGTGTCTTCGCCCCCCACACCGACATCCCCCACGTCCCCGACGTCTACGCGGCCAAGCACTTCCGGCTGCGGGGACACGTCTTCCTCTGCCTCACCCGCTTCCTGGGGGACGCCAAGGTGAGGAGAGATGGGGCGGGGGGGAGCACCTCGAGGGAGACGGTGGGGTGGGGTGGGGCTAGCGGGGTCACGTGGTTATGGGGGGCCACCAGGATGATGGCTCCTTGGGGTTCTATCACCATCACGGGGTTATGGGGGGCCACCAGCATCACGTGGTTATGGGGGGCCACCAGCATCATGGCTCCTTGGAGTTCTATCACCATCACGTGGTTATGGGAGGCCACCAATATCATGTGTCCATGGGGGGCCACCAACGTCATGGGTTCTTGGGGGTCCATCATCATTATGTGGTTATGGGGGGCCACCAAGGTCATGGGTCCATGGGGGTCTGTCACCATCATGTGGTTATGGGAGTCCACCAGCATCACGTGTCCATGGGGGGCCACCACCCAACCCAACCCCTCCCATGGTGGCCACCACCCAACCCAACCCTCTCATGACCTCACAGCCCAACCAAACCTTCTTCAGATGCCACCACCCAACCCAATCTTTCCCATGGTGGCCACCAACCAACCTGACCATTCCCATGTTGGCCACCACCCTTCCTATGGTGGCCACCACCCAACTCAAACCTTCCTCTGGTGGCCACCACCCAACCCAACCTTTTCATGACCATCACAGCCCAACCAAAACTTCTCCAGATGCCACCACCCAACCCAACCCCTCCCATGGTGGCCACCACCCTTCTACTGGTGGCCACCACTCAACCTTTGCCTTCCCATCATCCTCTCTTCCTCCAGGTGATGCGGTGGGAGGGTTCCATGTTCCGGGAGGTCCAGCAGGTCCCGGCGCGGGGCTCCTTGGTCTTCCAACCTTTGGCTTTGGCCGGCCACCGCTACGTCATCTTGGGCAACGACTACGCCCCGAGCCGTGTCTACCGTCTGGGAGCCGGTGGCCACCTGGAGCCCATCCAGGAGCTCCTGACCCCCACCCCCCGGGCCTTCGCCCCCCTGTCCCTTGGCCACCGACACTTTGTGGTGGCCTCCAGCTTCAAGGGGGCCACCCAGATCTACCGGCACGTCACCGTGGACTTGGGGACTTGAGGGGACATCACCCGGTGGTGGTGGGTGGGGGTTTGAGGGACATGGGGGGGGGCATCAAGGGTCACGTCGTGGTGGAGGTGGCCACCAGGGGACATGGGGACATCAAGGGGGATGTCATGATGGAGGTGGCCACCAGGGGACACAGGGACATCACCATGGACCTGGGGACATGGGGGACATCAAGGGTCACGTCGTGGTGGAGGTGGCCACCAGGGGACATCACCATGGACCTGGGGACATCAGGGGGTCACGTTGTAATGGAGGGGGGGACATGGGGACATCAAGGGATGTCATGATGGAGGTGGACACCAGGGGACACGGGGACATCACCACGGACCTGGGGACATCAAGTGGCACATGACGGTGGCTTGAGGAACATGGGGGACATCAAGGGTGACATCGTGATGGAGGTGGCCACCAGGGGACATCACCATGGACCTGAGGACATGGGGACATCACCATGGACTTGGGGACACGGGGACATCAAGGGTCACGTCGTGGTGGAGGTGGCCACCAGGGGACATGGGGACATTGTCATGGACCTGGGGACATGGGGACATCAAGGGTGATGTCATGATGGAGGTGGCCACCAGGGGACACAGGGACATCACCATGGACCTGGGGACATGGGGGACATCAAGGGTCACGTCGTGGTGGAGGTGGCCACCAGGGGACATGGGGACATTGTCATGGACCTGGGGACATGGGGACATCAAGGGTGATGTCATGATGGAGGTGGCCACCAGGGGACACAGGGACATCACCATGGACCTGGGGACATGGGGGACATCAAGGGTCACGTCGTGGTGGAGGTGGCCACCAGGGGACATCACCATGGACCTGGGGACATCAGGGGGTCACGTTGTAATGGAGGGGGGGACATGGGGACATCAAGGGATGTCATGATGGAGGTGGCCACCAGGGGACACGGGGACATCACCACGGACCTGGGGACATCAAGTGGCACATGACGGTGGCTTGAGGAACATGGGGGACATCAAGGGTGACATCGTGATGGAGGTGGCCACCAGGGGACATCACCATGGACCTGAGGACATGGGGACATCACCATGGACTTGGGGACACGGGGACATCAAGGGTCACGTCGTGGTGGAGGTGGCCACCAGGGGACACGGGGACATCACCATGGCCACCACCAACCCAATGTCCCCAATGACCTTGTGTCACCTCCTGGTGCCACCACCAACCCAATGTCCCCTCCTGGTGCCCCCCCCCTTGTCCCCAAGGCCACCCTTGTCCCCTCGATGCCACCACGAGGGGGGGACACTCCCCCTCCCCCTCAAAAATAACCAAAAATGCCCTTTTTTTAACACCCATTTTTTATTCATTTCCCCTTTTTTTACTTTTTTCACCCCCAAATAAACCTGCTCCTCCCCCCACCTCCCCCCCGTGTCACTCCTCGGGGGGGATGGGGTAACATTTGGGGACATTTGGGGACAGTTCAGCACTTGCTGGCGGCTCCTGGGGGGGGGAGGGGAGG